TCTCATTGTTGCAACAGGTCCACCTGTATCCTTAAACAACTGGTTTTTCCCCATCTCCTCCACAAGTTATACTGACATCAAATATAGTGAAAGCAACCACCCTCTCTTTAAAAGAGTAATGGAGGTGACATACCAGGCTCTAAGAAACCCCCTGTAAGGGAATGTTTCAGTAGTTAGCTGAAGAAATTTATTAAAGGAAAGGCAAGTAGAGCCCAGCAAATGCTCACAGACAGTGGCCAAGCTCTCAGTTCAAGCCACAGGACCAACAGCAAGTAGAAAAAAAAAAAACTTAAAGGAAAGGCAAATTTCAGAAACAAATAACCAGCAACTCCTTAAGAGTTCATAGATGGAATTTGGAAATTTCTGAGAAATTGTTAATTTCAAGAAATCTAAATTGACACAATATTTTACTGTACTTCGCAATCATGCTACTTTATTCCAGTGTATACATTAGCACAGTGGAAAATGGTCCAAGAATCAGTTTAGTGGCTATAAATACTTTTTGAAAGTGAGAGGGGAGATATTCTAAAATTTAAGGCAAAACAGTAATTTAGAGTCAGCAAAACATATATGTTAAGCAAAAATATAAGCATAAGCAACAGAATCTCATAATCTCTATTGCATTATTATAATTAAAAATTAAAATAGGAAATTATGTACTGTTCCCAAAACAGTTCCATTATCTGGCTAGTGTCACAGTATTTCAGGAGGCAAACAGTGATTTTCAGGAAGAAACTCATTTTAGCTGCCACAGTTGGGAGACAAAGGTCACCATGCATTGAGGCATCCTCAGACCTAGGGTCTGACACTGGTCCAAGCCCTGTCTAAGCCCACTTTCTCTAGGATGTCCCCACATTGTGGGAATTGTAGTCTCCATTGGAGCACAGATTCTTTGAAAGTGGTGTGTGGTTTTTTTGAGCAGAAGAACCTACTACATGTGTATCTCTCCACCCACTGTTGGTGTTTTCGCTTTGCAAATTCTAGCTTTTTTCCCTTTGCCTTGCTGCTGGAAGTGTTCTGAAGTACTCTAGTTGGAGCCCCAAAGCAGGCGCCCAGACTCTCTTCAGTGGACCTTGACAACTATGACTTGAAGGGATCCCAGGCTGTGGAACTGATGTCAGGTAAGAAGCCCGAGCAGAGTGCAGGACGTGCCCTCCACGTGTTCCTCTGGTCAGGACTTCATGATGTGTTTGTGGTTCATGAGTTTGCACTGCCATTAGTGTATGTGCCTCCAGACATGTGAAAGTGGCTTCCACAGTTCTGAGAGCAAATTGGGTATTTCTCCAGACTAGGAGAGCTGGGAGCTGTGCATTAATATTCCATGACCAAGAGATTCTGCTGTTAACCTATGTGACTTTATTCACTTTGCCCAGCTCTAAGATGAGCACAGTAACAATTCTAGTGAAATTGTGCAGTGTATGCCTGCCTTGAGTCCATTTATATTGCATTTGTATTTTAGGGTTCTTTGTTGTTTCTCCTACAGGTGTCTGCTCTGCTCCTGCCTTGTTTTAGCACTTCTGGCTTCAGTTCAAATATGTTTGTACATGAGCTTTTGTCTAGAGACAGTTCTACATGGGATATTGGAATAGTGTGTGGTGGTGCTGTAGTTTTAGAAATGAAGCCTAGCAATGTTTGAAGGAAGGCATCCTATGAATTGGAATCTCCCTCCTGAAAGAACAGACCTTATCAACTCTGACAAGCCCTAAAGAGCAAAGGCAGAAAAGCACAGGAAGGGTTAAATGTTTTTAGCTTTCCTTGCTTTAAACAAAAATCGGTTCTACTTCCCAGAGCACAAAATTCACATGGAACTCTTTCCCCCAACAATCTCAATCACTTGGTGCTGTTGGAAAGTTTAGACCAACTTTCAGGAGTGGTAGGCAACTGGACTGAGGAATGAGCCAGAGCCTAGTTATCACAGGGGATATGAGGCTGTGGTTTGGTGTGGAGGGATCACTGTCACAGCTGAAAGTATCTGTCTATGTACTAATCCCTAAATCTATTCTCATTGATTTGTTCAGCTTTTCCTGCTATCACTTCCAGTATGTGATCTCTCAAACTTACCCCAAATGTGCCATCTCTGGAATTGCCAATGCTAGATCTAGTATATTCCTTCTTCCTGCCTATTCAGGAAGTGTTAGTCAAGGGTCCTTGGCCTTACTAAAAAACTTACAAAAGCAAACTTGAGGTAATATATTTTGCTCAAGGTTGTATGAGTTGTAGATTTTACATACCTAGTGTTACCCTTTTTGGCACAATCTGCCTACAGAAATATTATTTCACTTAGGAAATTCTGTTTAGGAATTGAAATAAGTGAAGCATAAGCACTCCTTTAAAATATCTTATAGAAACATGTTGAACCAGTTTTTATCCTCTGCATATCTTATGGCTTTTGCAACTTTAAAATGTTACTAACATGGATATACTCCACTTTATTTATTTGGTCTTTGACAAATTCCAATTTCTCTGATTTGAGCCTATTTTACATCGCTTAAAATGAGAGAGACTGACAACATGTATTCTAAAACAATTGATAAAATATATTTTAAATGTAATGCAATGCCAGTTTGTTCTGTGCTAGTGGTCTCTCTTAAACTGAGTGCCTGAGCACTGACCATGAGCTTCTTTTGCTCAAAGGTAATGTTCTACCACTTAAGCCACATCTCACTACCAGCTATTTTTGGTAGTTTATTAGAGATAAGAGTCTCCCAGACTTTCCTGCCCCAGCTGGCTTCAATCTGTGATCCTAAGTTCTCAGACTTTTGAGTAGCTCGGATTATACCCTTCAACAGCCAGAGCCCAGTTACAATGCCCTCTTTTAAATACAGATTATATTGCTAATAAACCAGTCTGAAATAGAAAATTTTAAAATTTTCAGGAGGGATGTTCAGTCACTAATATATATGAGAATAGTCCAAATTACAAAGCATAAAGAAAATATCCCACCCTGACATTCATAACGCTCCTGGTCTCAAGCATTGTGAATACAGACACTTAGAGCATACAGTATTTTTTTTAAAGTAAGAAAACATTCTTGTGATGTAGAAAAACCAAATACTAATGTGCAAACATTGTTTTAAATGATTTATCTTTCCTAACACAACCTAACTGAAGTCTACAGAGTAGATTTTCAGTTTCTTTAAATGTCAGTGTAAAATTCATTTTATTTTAAGAATTTCCATTCTGCATTATTGTGTTAAACAAAAAACAGCATTGTGGATAATAGCTTTTCCTGTGAAATAAGCCAACCAAGAAGTACAAACAAAAAGACAAAGCTATTTAATTTAATAGTTTTAAGTTTTACAGTCTACATTTGGGTGTCCTCAGCTTGGTATTTTGTGTTTATATTGTTTAAGTAACATGTAAGACTTTAATCTTATGGTTCCTTGGTTGAAGATGGTTTGTGGGGATTCTGTTATTCCTATGACCACTATTTTATGTTGCATCATTTTTTAAAATATTTTTTTTTTCATTTTTTAAAATATTTTATATTGTGAAAATACTGTACAGAGGGGTTACAATTACATGGGCAAGATAATGAGTACATTTCTTATCAAGCATTGTAGCTTCCTCCTTTGTTTACACTTCCCATCCCTTCCCATAATCCCTCCCCCCACCTAATCCTCCCCCGCCCCAAGTTGTAAAGTTCGTTTTTTGACATGACAATTTGTACTTCTCATTGTTGCAACAGGTCCACCTGTATCCTTATTTAAACAACTTTTTTTTCCCCTTCCCCTCCACAAATTATACTGACATCAAATACAGTGAAAGCAGGGGTTATACTGTGGGGGAGGGACATACAAAACAATAAAGAAATAATCTTATAAATGTGTTAGAAACACATGCATGAAAGAAAAAAAAACATTTAAATACATA